CTATTTACTTATCTTCTTAACTCATTTATGATGCATGTCACTCACTCACTCACATGATAGCGCACTCAAATTCCTCCTTAACCTCTTTGAAATTTTGACAGAGTCTCATTTTTTTTTAGCACTTTTCATAACACAACCTGGACATATCCCTATCAAAATCAAAAGATAAGGCTCATGGATATTATCAATTATAATCTATACCATCAACAATTCACATTGTCACCATTGAGAATTATTTCATATGTTTGCACATTTCTTATAATCAACCAGATCAACATTGCAGACAAAAAAATTTCAAGAATGAATGATGGTTAAATATTTAACTTAAAAATTAGTTTATTTACCTCAAGACTTAAATCTATGTAAATGAAATAATGTCTTAATATGATTTTAATAATTTACACTTCTCCTTTTATATAGTTAAATCTTTTGACCTTATATCTTATATAAAATTTAATTTCACTTCACCTAATAAACTATTTAAACATTTTATGAACATTAGCCAACAAAGCCTATTCTAGTTAACTCATGTGTTCTTATTGTTTTAAGTAACCTAACTCAACTCTAAGAGTTCTTAAATTAAATATACTTAAATAGAATGACTTCATGACTTCATTCTTAAACTTATTATCCTTTACCACTTAGCTTTTAGATAAATTTTATAGTATGAAATGTCATTTCCACTCAAAGTGTTTAGAGTCAATTTTCAAGGGTTATAACTCATTATTTGAGTACTAAATCATCCCATGGATTACCTATACTACATCTTAGGTATATATTCTTAGAAATTTTGCACACTTTTATAATCTTTAAAACACATTTTCCCCCATTTTAGGATGCAAGAAAACCAACCATTTTTTTTTAAATTTCCCACACCTTTAATCATCATAACACGTCAAAACCAGTACAATAAGTTACTGAAACATTCCAACACTTGTATCTATCATTTCCACACATAATACACACTAATTTTTCACACTAAAATAAGGTAATTTTTCTGCATAATTCTTCAATAAATTTCTTGTGCGTATAAACCACATCATCAATTTAAGAATCCTAACATTATACCCCATCTTGTGCATTCATATACAAACTTTGTACCTCATTTAGAGAATGAAAGTACATTAAATATCATACTAAACATCTATATTTAGAGCCATAAATGATACAAAGCTATCATATCAAAATCAACATATAACACATCTAGATCACACACACTTTGAAGTTACATTCGAGCTTAAGTCAATCCTAAATTGAGCCAAATTAATTTCAATAACTTTACAATTCATAATATACACATTCCAAGTTTGCAAACACAATTTAAAACATTGATCCATGCCCAAGCATAGAAAAAAAGGGCTATCATGAAAATAGCTATTTATTTGAGTTAAAAGTCACTCTTTTAAGGTGAAACACTATGCAAATCAATTCTAAATTCAACCAAATTAAATCTAAAATCTTTGTATTTCATATTATACATGTTCCAATTCTCCAAACACAATTTAAAGCATGGTTTGTAATTTATATGGTTCAACCCGCAGGCTCCCAGTTATGTAATTTTTTTGCAACTTTTTCGACCTCATTTTAAGTCATTTTCATGTGAAAACAAGTTGAAATAGATAGTATATATCACCCCACTATCATTCTCTATGAATTATACTCCATTTTGTAGCATTAAAATAGGGTTTTAACCCTAACAAAGAGTGTTGGACAACATTCCTATTTTATAAGCATAATAGAGAAATAATTTCATACAACTCAAAAACACAAGCAAACGTAACAAGAGTCTAAGGAATCCCTTCAAATAGTAAAATAAACCCAAGAAATAAGTCTAACCCCCTCCTTTACCTCCTTAAGCAAGAACTTATATTGTGGGTATCAAGAACAAATTCTCCTTGCAAGCTCCAAAGTGTTTATATAGAGAATGGAGAATGGAGAGAAGAAAAGGAATTAGAAGATTAAAATGAAGAAGAGAAAAATAGGGATAGGTGTGGAAGAAATTACCTACAAGGAGAACCAAGGGAAGATTTGTTTCTTGAAACTCTTCTTCTCCCCAAAATGGTGGCTGACGAACAAGAATGAGAGGAGAGTGGTGTCTCAAGTTTGGTCATATAGTAAGGTCATGGTCTAACTTAATTTTGGGTAATTTAAGCTTCTTAACTACCTATAACTTCTCTATTAATTACCAACCTAGCATTTGTATTCTTTATTTATTTATTTTCACAGGAAGTAATTTATTTAATCTAATTTCACATTTTTCTACAATTAATTATAACATAAAAGATAAGCAGTTATGAGAATATAAAATTTTTTATTTTATTTTTATAATATTTAATTTATTATTATATGTATTTTTTTAGGGTGTCACTACCATTGGAAGTTCACTAGGAACAATTATATCAAAACCCTAAAAAAGAGAAATTAGTCAAACATGCTATTAGAACAAGGAAAAAAAACTACAATTGAAAGAATAATTTTTTGAGAGTTTGACTCTTAGCCTCTTACATATCCTCAATAACAAATACAAAAAAGAGAAAAATATGGGAACTAAAACTAAAAACTAGATCACTAAAACATGGTCTAGACATCCTGATTTATAGTAAAAATTAGGTCAGACTTTTAAGTATGGTCACGCATCTTAGCAAGCACGATCATGCTAAGTAACATGGTCATGCTTCATTACAAAAAAGAAGCACGTGCATGCTTATGGCAAGTAGGATTGTGCTTCATAACACGAGTGTACTTTATCATTGGCAAGGGTGTGTTTGCCTTCAAGGGTGTGTTTATCCTTCAAGGGTGCTCTAAATGGAGCACGACCATGCATGTTGGCAAGCATGATTGTGTTTCATAACATGAACTTGCATTTGGGCATGCTTCCACTTGAAGCACGATCAAGAATCATATAAGAACAAACCATGCATCAGACAAGCATGGTCGTGTATTAGTCAAGCATGGTCATGCATGACTTTAACCTTTAGATTGTTTCATTTTATCCCTTAATTGCATTGATTTTATCCTTTATTTTATTTTCGTTATTTGTTGCATACTTAATAAAAGAAGTGAATTATTTTCAAAGAATTAACAATAAATCAATGCAAAACATCAATGAATATCATGTTATTATGCAACATTTTGACAATTTAACAATCCCTTATTCTAAAGTGTTAGTTTGTTCTATTTTATATTCCTATGTTGTAGCTTGACTTGTGTTGGATCATGCTTTGACGATGATGATAATAATTGTGATGTTGTGAAGAACATTGAACAAGACAGTGAAAACCTAGTTTACAGAGGTAGATGTCTTCTATGTGTTTTTATTTTTTGCGATACTAGTTGAGGATGTAGTAAACGATCTCTTACATGCTTTGGGTAAAATAAACCACATTTACTTTTAATCCACTTACACAAATGTTTTGAAATAGCACCACATGCATGAGATAGATTGGCGGGAGACATTGCATTGATCATATGTGTGTGAATACAAATGTTATCATTAACATCAAATGTTTTATAGCTTTTGTGTGTGTGAGTTTTGTACTCTTAGATTTGTTATATCTTGATGTGGTTTCAGATATATTTCACTATTTATTTGTGTTTGGATTGAACTTCATTTATAAATGATAGTATGTTTGTTAAGGATGCCAAGAATGTGGACATAGAGGATTCTTATTCTTTTAAATTTTTTTTAATGCTTTGGAACATGGTTTGATAGGATGTAACATTGTGACTCTTCTTTGACATGTTTAAGTTATATTTTATTTATGTTTCAATATTTTAGTTTTTGTTTTGTAAAGGTGTTTGGAGTGCCAAACATTTTATTTAATTCAAAAAAATTCAATTTTCTTTTGAAAGTTATGTTTAGGTGTGACATTCTTTTCTTGCAAAAAAAAAGTTTTCAAAATACATCATTTTTGTGTAATAATTATGCAATACTTAAGTAGTTAACAAGAGTCCAAACCCAACTTGTGATGGACTTAGGGTCAACCTAAGCACTAATTCAATATAAGTACATGGCCTAAATTATGAGGTCATCTCTCGTGATAGACCAAAAGATAGACTTTTTTATAGATTCTAAATGAGAATGATACTTTACTTTTTGTTTTATTACTTTGTATGCATTTTTTTATGTTCAAAGATTGGTATTTTATTAATATATTCTTTACAAAAAATGTTACGTACAAAAAGTATTACTATGGATATACTATAACATATAGCCACACTTTTTAACAATATATTAACATATATTGTATCTAATAGTGTAGATAAAAGTAATTTTTAGTGATAAGTATTTGTGTCACTACATGACAATTTTTTTTAGTGATTTTATATCTTTACTAAACCTTCATCATGTACCACACCTGGTAATTGGATGAACATATTTTTGTAGAAATCAAAATCTATAAAAGAATTGAAAACTTTTGTTTTTCTAATCCTAATTGTCATGAGTCACTATGTTAGTTATTTTCAAACTAACATGTTCCTACAAGAGACATTACCTATAAATTTTGAACTACTAAAAACAAGAACATGTTGCAAAAGGATATTATTGTGATCTACTTTATAATATGTAGTTTTTATTTTGATTTGTTTTGAATAAGTTCATCTATAAGAAAATCAATTACATTTTTGCACCAAGGTTGAAAGATGGATGAAATAATATATGATTTGTTATTATATCTTGGAGTGGTTATGTAGTGAAAATGTCATTTTATACTTTGTTACACAAGATTAAACCATGGTTTAATAAAATGCACCCATGAGCAATCAATTTTTCACTTAGATATTTCATGAACTAAAAGTCCATGTTCAAAATCTTATACTTCCTTCCTATGCTATCCTTTAGCTAATGCGTATAATTGATTACTAGAAAAAAAAAGTAGATAATAAATATCCAGTAAAAAGTAATGTAAAAATATTTTTCTCATCCTTTTCTTTTATTAGAAACCATGTTACATGTTCGTCATATGCTACACCAACATTAATTTTGTCAAGATATTTGTTTTAAAAAACTATTCATCATATTTCACCACACATAATTAATGACTAACAAATATTTTAAGTGCCAAGTTCTAGTTAGTTAAAAAAATTCTTGTACAATGTTTGAGTAAACTATTTTCTCTATCTAGCATTTAATAATGAGACAGTTACTTCATTGATTGAGCAAGACTCTTGTCTATCACAAGATTGCTCGCCTTCAATTGAAATATTTTTAATTAAGAAACTAGGTACTTTAGGTTGAGATAAAATAGTTTCACTACTCAACATTACAATCACAGATGTCATGTTTGGCCTATCATCGGGATGATGCTGCAAACATAAAAGACCAACTTGAATGCAACGTATAACTTCAGATATTTTACATGAGTCCACTAGACTTGGAGCAATCAATTGTTCTGGAGTGCCCTCTTTCCACATTCTCCATGCCTACAACAATTCAATGCAATAGTTATACATGTAAGGTTCTTGTTATGGAAAAAAAATAGTTTCTATATTTTTTTGTGTTACTCACATGTCCAATAAGATTATCAATGTGGCCTTCATTTGTAATTGTTCGGTTTTTCTTTCCACTGATAATTTCTAACAACAATACACCAAAGCTAAATACATCCGATTTTGTAGAGAATAACCCATCAATAGCATATTCAGGTGCCATATAACCACTGGAAGCAACAACACATGAATTAATTTGGTGTTTCTTTAATCATTTTATAATTGACATTAATTTTTAAGATACTTACTATGTTCCAACAATTCTGTTTGTATTCCCTTCAACTTGATCGCCTCCGCACATTTTAGCTAAACCAAAATCTGAAATTTTTGGATTCATATTATTATCTAATAAGATATTGCTTGCTTTCAAATCTCTGTGTATGATTCTTAATCTAGAATCTTGATGAAGATACATAAGTCCTCGAGCAATTGCACACAGGATGTTAAAGCGCATAGGCCAGTCTAAAAGTTTACTTTGAACTGAATCTGGCAAGATTTTCAGCAAGTTGATTAGTCATTTCTTAAAAAAGAAAAAGTCTTGAAAAATAAACCAAATGTTTACTATACTAATTACCAAAGTTTTTAAAAAATACTTACCAAAAATGAATGAATCGAGACTTTTGTTGGGCATATATTCATAGAGTAACATTTTCTCCTCTCCTTCAATGCAACAACCAAGAACCTTAACAAGATTTCGATGTTGAAGTTTGGCACATAATATAACTTCATTCTTAAATTCTTTCAATCCTTGTCCAGAACTCCTTGAAAGCCTTTTAACTGCTATCACTTGTCCATCTAGCATTGTACCCTAAATTTATAATAATTTTTTTAACAAATAATGAAAATCCTTATAGTTTTCTTTAACCTTATAAATACAAAGGTTGAAAGTTTACCTTATATACAGGCCCAAAACCACCTTCACCCAACTTGTTGACAATTGAGAAGTTATTGGTGGCATTAATTATTGTAGCAAGGTCAAAGAAAGGAAGCTCCAGATTTTCTTGCTCACCTTCATCTTTCTCCTCTGTCCATATTTCGTTTTCTTAAAACAAGAAATTAAAACCTTGAATACAATGTTGTAATCATTTAAAGCCACACGTAAAGCCATATAGCCAATAGTCCAATACACCGAGCAGTTTTAAGTGAACAGAGCAAAAGTCGTGGTAGAGAATTTGGTAGTTTTATTAAATTATCGAATCTCAGAAATATTAAATTTATAGACAGGCAGTCAACAAAAACATGAAACTTAATTAATTTCTGTTCAAAATAAATTAAAAATATTATGTCTTTGTCTCATTTAAGGTTGACAAACATATAATGTGTGCCATGACTACAGAGTACAGAGTATGATTTTGACATATAGGAGTTCATGGGGAGGATTTTTATTGTAGTGATCAACAAAATACATTCAGGTTGATCACGTTTACTGTACTAAACATGCAAAGAATGCCCCAAAGGCATTAAACAAGAAATACAAGTAAAACAGAATTGTTGAAATTTTGTATTCTAATAAAATTGAACAGAACATTACTCCATTGTGTTCAATTTTTCAGTAATAGCAGGTATTCAATTAAACTAATTTTAAAAATCTGTGTGAAATTCAAAAGGAATTCTGGCTACGAAATTTACCTTCCTTCTTTGTTTTGGTCATGTAAATGTAGGAGAATCCCATTAGCATCATCACGACTAACGAAACTATGATAGCCACCATCAAGACTACCTTCTTTGAGTTCTTATGTTTAGCATCTGCATTTTTATATTTTGACAGAGAAATGAAGCTCGTGATTCTCAAATAAAAGCAATGAGACTCAAATTATATACTCCCTCTGTTTTTTGTTATAAAAGAAAAAAAAAACTGATTTTAAATGTATTAACAAAATCTGCATTTAATTTTTCTAATTTTACAATTTTATTTTTTTAAATTGTCCTTGTTTAATGAATAAAAAATAGTATCAAACATTAAAATAATAGTATTTTAAAAAAATATTATTAAATGAAATAAAGTAGTTAAAATTTGTTAAAAATAAAAATAAAACGTGTGTGTGTGTGTTTTTTTTTACTTATAAAAGATAACCGAGGAGTATAAATTAAATAAAGTTAATCAAAAGAGTACCATTGTAAATAATCGTATCTGAAGTGGCCATTCGAACATATAGATCTTGCCCACTTTCTGAAACTCTCAAATCAACAAGATCACCAAACCAAATTGAGCAACCACTACCTCCCCCACTTGTGTCTAAGTTGGCATAAGCAGTGCAAGAACAAATATTCAAGCATTTGGCCTTGCAATCTTCAAGTGTCATACTTGTATTTATCCAAGAATGTGTGGTATCAGGCATTTTCATCCCCACAAATCTTCTAAAACCATCTTTGTTCTTAACCCCACAACTCCACGGTTCTTTATGCACACACCCTTGTGTCCAATCCATTGCATTCCAGTTTTGAACCGATTTTGGCTTGAACCCCTCTAAGCATTGGCACACAGGGGACCCATTAATCATGCAACTCCCATAAGCCCCACAAACGTTATAAACGTCACAACTATCCTGTGGCAACGATTGGTACACACTCCAAGTTCTAGTGTGGGGAATCCACGTAATGCGTTGGCGAAGATAAAGGGTTTGGTTCAAAACAATGATCGAAACCACAGAACTATTCTTTAGCGTGTACCTCACGTACACTTCATCTTCATTTTGGACGTACTTATATTCAAAAAGTGGATTTGGACTGAACCCAAATACCCCACTAGAGAAAATCCCGTTCCATGGACCACTTCTATAGTACTCAACCGAACCCTTCCATATTGCCAATTCAGGATTGGTCCCAAGCTTCACACCCGATGTAAAATCTCCCGAAGATGGATCATCCCAGTTTTTCCACGCGGTTAGAAACCGGTTTAGACCGGTTTTAAGGTTCCACCCTAGTTTCATTCCTTGTAATAGTGTGTCACAAGGATGATCAAAACTCTCCCACAAAAAACTCTCTTCATTCTTGTCGTTGCTTCCATCTCTGATCACTAAATTCCCGCTGTCTAAAAGTTGCACCACGAGACTTGAAACCGGTTCTTTTGATGTTGTATTCGTGGACCAAACAAGAGACCGGTTTATGTTGAGGAGTACGAGGTTTCCCTCTTCGGTTAGCGACAACGTGCTGGACTTGTCTTTTGTAGGGTTGTTACGGTTCGCAACCCAAACTATGGTTCTAGTTTGGATATTTTTGAACCAAATTCCGACGTAGCGGTTTGTGGAACTACCGGGAGTGAAGAAACCCAACTCGAAGGTTCCATCTTTTGAGACCAAGGTGGAGCCATCGGAAAGTGGTTGAGAATGAGTGATGGTGTCGGTTGCATAGGAAACTTGAGAGAAGAAGAAGAATAGTAGGTTCGGGAAAAGAAGCGTAGCATGAACAAGAGCCATTTAGTTTGCAGTGATTGCTGCGCAATGGCATGGATATGTGGAAGATATTTATGAGTAGTTCTAATTTTTGAATAATGTGAAGATTATCGTTCAAGTGGGGTTGCCATATTTGACACGATAGTTGATAGGTGGCTTTTGTTATGAGCAATAAATAGTTATAGGTGGACGAAGTAATGGACGATTACACTGTGTCCTCAATTTTTAGGACATATTGTCTTAATAATCTTGACACGTAAAAATAACAAATATTTTTATTATTTTTTTTAATTTATATAATTTTTTTTCTGATTGCTTTTACTTTAGTCTTTAATTCTTATCATAATTTTTAATTTTTACAATGTACTATTTTTTAGATCACAACAAAAATTAAAAGGACTAATAAAATAAAAAGTGGGAAATTTATGCTATATTTTTTCATATAATAAATTAATATGATAATGCTTTTTGAAGGGAGAAGAAAATTAATATCAAGATAAATGTTAGTAATATACTATTTTTAATGGTTGAAATTTATTGAAAAACATAAAATTTTGTGAGTATTATATCTTATTTAATGATTATCTTTTCTAATTTTGTAATTTTTAATAAATTTTAATTAATAAAAATAAATATATTAAAAAGAGTGCGCCAGAGAATGTGTTACTAATATTCCTCATGATATTTTACTCTAAATAGAGTGTTTGAGGAAGTAATTTAACAGGAAATGTAGAAGAAAAATTATTAAGGAATTAAAAATAATGTGTGTTTGAAAGGAAAAATTTAAGTGCACTTGAAATAGTATTTGATAATGTGAATTTAATTTTACTCCTCTTACAAATCAATGTGTAAAAATTTTCACAAAAGAATGTTTGAACAAGATTAACACATCATTATCTAAATGTGTATTTAAAAAAATTAATAAAAAGTAAATTTTTTTTTATCTAAACAAATTATGTTACAAAAAATTAAACTTTATAAAATATTTTTGATTTCTCATATAATCTCACTCTATTGAATAATTACAAATTTTATTTTATTTTTATCTATTAAATAAAATTAATTTCCACACCTTTCATTCTAAATTCCTGTTCGTTACCCTCTCCCAAAGAAAGCGTCTAGGAATGGTATATATGAAAGACAAAAGATGTGAGTTGCGAAAGGGGACAAAAGGAGACACAGGAAGACTTAGACAACAGATGGAGAAGGAGAGAGACAAGCAACATGTGTTCACTTGGACCCACGTGAGTTGCCGTAATTGACATCACCATATGTTTCTGATGTGTAATTATTTTCAATATTAAAACTAACCTCATGGGAGGGATACGAATTACAAAATTCTCAACATATTGAGATTAGAAGAAATTAAAGTCAAAGTGCAACCACAATAATGTAATAGAAAGACAAATATTTTATTTATAAAATTGTTGTAAACCAAATATTGGGAGGGAATACCATTACTTCTTTCATAAAACTTTAATTGTTTTAGTGTAAGGAGCAAGTACCCACTAAGAAATCATCAGCTAATTAAGAGAGTAAGCAAAAACTAAGTTATATTTTCTATATTTTCTATTTTATTTTAATATTTATTTTATTTTTTATCTAATAATTTTCTTGATTTAGTTTTTTAAATAGTAATCATTTTTAATTTTTGAACACGGTTGTAAATATTATTTTGACTGATTTAAAATGAAACTCATCTTATTAAATTATTTATATAAAAGCTATAAAATCAAATCAATATTATTAAAAACTATAAATATATTAAAAATCACATAAAAGTTAATCACAGAAACAATAAAAAAAGATTTACTATTGATTTTTTAATATTACTCTTTAAACTTATTTATGTGCCATTTTTGTTGTATTTACATACTGTACTAAGACTCTGTATGCGATCGAACACGGGTTATGTGTTAATTTTAAGTGCAAGATATATGGAGTTGAAAAACATAGTGTAGCTTAAAGAATGGGAACAATACGTGATCGACCTTCTTTCTTAAAAATTATAGAGCCTGACCAGTGACCATCACCATATCTCTTAAATGAGCATTCAACCGTGAGCAGACTCCGAGAGAAAACAAATATTTTAATAAAATATGTATGCTTGGGATAGAGTTCTAATAACTGAGACAATAACTTTTAAGCTCAGTTTTAAATATGGCGGGGAATTATAAGGTGGATTTGGTGGTGTGGAAAAGGACACAGTTGACCTGATACAGATGGAGTAGGTTTGAATTTTATGCTACTATAAATCACTAATTATTGTATATTTGTGAATATCGATCTTGAATGAAATCTCACATTGTTTGGGCCTAATAAAATATAAGTGTTTATATATTTAAATTTTTTGGTAGTTGTTAGAATACAAACAAGTTTTACATTAATAAAGTCCAAAGCGGACAATATCTCATCTTTGTGGAGTATGCTTGTGTAATAATTTTATAAAAATAACTCTCATAAAATATCTCCTCAGATAAATACTATAAAAATAACCAAAACACTAGTTTTGCTTCTCAAATCTTGATTAAGACGATTTTGTTGTATCATGAAGAAAATTTTTCTAATGCTTTATTTTAGTATTTAAGAATCGATTTTAAAAACTACATACAAAATCGGTTATTGAATAGCCGATTTTAAAAGTAGCGTTAGAGACTTTTAAAATCAGTCATAAGGTAGCCGATTTTAAAAGTGATGCCATTATTTACAAAATTGTCACCGCGTCACTTTTAAAATCGGCTATTTTATGACTAATTTTAAAATCCCGATTTTAAAAGTCATTTTTGTACTAGTATTAAAAAAATGAAATAAAATAACAAACAAAATAAGATATAAAAAAATATGAAATAAAATAAAGTAAAGCACCCTCAATCAACTAGAATCTCCTTCGACTAATATTGCATAATTTAGTCCACAACAAGAGCTTCATAATTTTGATGCACTAAAAATATGCTTAAAGGAAAGTGCACCTTAATTATCACAACAATAACAATGGACAAAAGTACAAATATTAAATCTAAAGGACTAAATGAAAAATATCAATTTATCGAAGATTCACTATTATTTCGGCAACATCCAATTTTTTAGAACAAAATTTATTACATCAATTTTATTTTTTTTTTAAAATGAATTTAAATAGAGTCAAAATTCAATTCTGATTCAGAGATTAACAAAACCTTGGGTCATGACTTCAATTATTCCTAACTCCCATAATCCTAATTTAACTGAATCCTAATTTTGATTATCAATTATACTTCTTAATTTGCTAATCACTTTTTATAATAAAAATTAGCTATCTTCATACCTAATATAAACTCCTATTTAGTCATATAAAAATTCATACAAAAGGAAAGGTTGGATAAAATAATTAACCTAAAAAGGAGTTTAGAATACTAGTATGGTCATGCAAGCTTCTAAACATGAGTATTTGTTGTTCCATTAATTAACCGGATTTGGTCATGTTATCGATTAACTTATACGATCGATACAGAAAATAGTCAATTCTTAGCGTGAATTAAAATAGTAAAACGATCTAATAAAATAATAGAAGGGTTCAAATTAAATCAACATTGGGGTTAAAAGGTCCAACCTACCTTGTAACTCTTGCGTGTAATTAGCCACATATTGTGTTAAGCATGAAATTACAATCTAGACATCAGAAAAAGGAAGGGAAAAACTGTTACAAGTAGTTTCCTCTACTCGAGCCTCTGTTTTTCTCCCAAAGTTATTCTCCCACTTCATTCTCTCATAAAATATGAGTAATAAAAAAACATAAGTAATAAATAGAACCATAAAACTTTCAACCTTGTCTTTATTTATAGAGTTTAAAAACTAGCAACCTTTACCACCATCGTGCTCCTTCAACATGGGCGAACTAGGTCTTTGCATGGGCATGTTAACTTCCTAACACTATTACCGGACGTATTATCTATATATCGATTCTGTGAAGTTATTTACATCAATTTTAAAATCAATGTAGAACATAGTGACTTAGAAAATGTATATACTACTACATTGGTTTTTAAACTGATGTAGATTATGCATAATTTACATCGATTTTGTATAAAAATCGATGTAAATATATACTTAAATTTACATCAATTTTCTTGATAATCGATATAAATTTATAGATAAATTTACATCGATTCTCATAATCATAAGTTTGAAAGCAAAAGAGAGGAGTTTGGGTGCTTATGATTAGGGTTTTCAATGACGATGTTTTTCAGGGTTTGAGAAGAGTTTGGAGAACGATAAAGCAGAACCTCTCATAGATAATGATTAGGGCTTTCTTTGGAGAACGATAGTAGGCTTTCTATTGGAGAGGGCTTTCTTCGAAGAGCACGAGAGTTGTCTTTGGAGATGGCACACTCGAGTAAGCTAAGTTATTCACTACATCAGTCATAAAGTGAACCAATGTAGATATGTTTATGTTTTTACTCTTATTTACAAAATTGTCACCATATTTTCAATACTACATCAGTCCCCCAGTAAATCGATGTAGAACACTCAATATTTACATTGTTTGTCCTTAAAATCAATGTAAATATGCTTTACATTTTCAAATAATTATATATGAAAATTTCACCGCATTTTTTCTACATCAGTTTTAATAAAATCGATGTAGAATTGACGACGTTGATGAGTCCTTTTCTAATAGTGTGAAAGATGAAGATTTCAAAATCCTAGAATGATCATGCTTCTTTAGCATGTACGTTTTCTTATATTAAGCTTGAAAGTGTAGGCTTCAAGAGTCCATTAAGCTCGTGCTAGATACAATACAACACAAAAGCACATTTTCTTCATAAACCACTTTTTTTCTTTTTTACGCTTTTGAGTTAAGCTTTAGAGTATCGGTATGCTACATACTTAAAGAAAAAGTGATTTCTGCCAATATATTGATGCATTAATAGGACAAAAATTCTAAAAATACTCAAATAGAATGCAACAAGTATGGTTGAACAATTGATTTAGATGATTTATTGTAATTAGGAAATTGAAATGAGTAAATAAATTAGGATGCTAACGAATACACTTTAGTTTAGGTTAAATTAATCTGTTGGTCCCTATAATTTTTGTAAGTTTTTAATTAGGTCTCTATAGTTAGAAATATTCTAAAAAAAATTCTTATAATTTAAAAATCTTGTAATTAAATCCTCTCCTAACTAACATCATTAAAAAAAATTTAACTCATGATGACTGAATATATTAGTTATCTTTTAATATGGTAATTACCTTTTAATTTCATTGATTTTAAATAATTTTAATTAAATCCTCAATTTTAATAGGCTAATTACACTAAAATTTAGGATTTTTTTACATTCAAAATTTTAAAATATTTATATTTTTTTAATTTATATCTATTCATAAAAACTATAAAAAAAAGTTAAAAAAACTTTTTATCAGAAAATTTTAATTATTAGTTTATTATTTCAATTTGCAAAATACACAAAATTAATATCTATTTTATTCAAACAGTTTTTAATAAATAAATATTTTTCAATATGTTAAATATATGTAAATAACTATTCAAAAATAATGACATTTAAGATCATTATACTAATTTATACGTAGAGAGGATATAGTATTAAAAGTTAATTAGTATTTTAGCCTATATAATTTACAAGATAAATATTTATTTTATATATTTATGATATATAATAAATAAATCATGAATTTTACATGCAACAATATACAAATAGAACAAATACAAAAAAAAATGAGTAGTGAGGAGCATCTCATGACATAGAATATAGCCAAATACAGAACAATATGGTAAGCAACTAAATCATGGCAGCAACATGGTAGTAATGCAATTTATCATAAAATGACAAGATTCGATGTAATAATAATAGAACATATCTCTTCATAAACACCGTGAATTCAACACATAGAATCATTCACATGTAGAATGTAATGGATCAAACTATAAAATATCCATGCATGTGACACTAGTAAAATCAAAGTATTGTCATGAAACAACATAGAGTCACTTAAGAGGTCATGATGAGCATACCCTTATCACACTCTAACTAGGAGGACATACAACAAAGGTCTTGTTGGGATAGCTGTGTCGTACAAGTGCTTCCCCACACGTAGAATGGGCAAGACTGAGACTTTCCAAACCCAATTATCCTCGATAATTGATCCCAAATTTTTACATAAGGAGGCTTTCTTTGACAACAATTTTCATATCGTACCCATCCAAAAATAAGATGCATATAATGCATGTCAAACAAAACTCAATGCATTATCCTATTATAATAATGCACTTACACAATTGTACATCAATTCCTTTCATTTCATATTCACATCATGGCTAAGTCTCGCTTAGACTTCTCGTTGCATTGTGAAACACAACACATCATTCAACTCACTCATGGTTCTCAATCATGTTATTAACATATACTCACTTACAACAACTAGACATTAGCAATATGTTACACAAAGATCCCAATCATTAACATCCATTGAACTCGAAAAAAGAAAATACAAATTATAGAGCAACACCTGGTGAGACACATCCAGCACCCGACACAAAACCTCTAAAGAGAAATATTGCTCTCAGGCCGAACTGTGCGCCCAAGGTGACCAAGCTCACAGGAAGTCTCTTAGACCTCCAACATCTAATGCAGATCATCCCACGCTCAATGTGAATGACCCCAAAAACAATTTTTGCTCTCGACCTCGATAATGCTCGACAAGCCCAAGGTGGTGCTTGGCTCCCAATAGAGAATGAACACCTTGCATAAAATGAAAGTCTCATATCATGAGTATCATTCATCAAATTTTGATTACAATTGGTGTAAACGTATTCTAAGGGTCATATAACACTTCTAAAAGGCACAAATTAGATACATTATCATATACTTATACCATCTTCTCATATAATCACCCAATGCATATTCCTCTCAAGAATTCCCACAAGGAACCATGAGCAAGCCAATATTCACAAGATTAGTCTAAAACATGAAATTAAACGTATATACATGTTAACATTATAAAAGAAAATTGAAGAATCTATATATATATAAATTTGGAATTACCCCCTTCATACTGTACATGCAACAGATAACAAGATTAGGGTTAATCTCATTACCTAACATATACTTAATGTCTAGAGAGAGACTACTCACTCTCCTTTATCTTGGTGAATATTAGACGAAAGACATGGATCTTTAGGATGATCTCCCACAAGCTATAATTCTCCCAATTCTTAAGAGCGCAAGAGTACAAGTGAAAATGATTCAACTCCCTCTCTTAAGTTAACTCCTCACTTAACTCAACAATTAAAACACTTAACTCTAGTTACACATCCCTTCCCTCAAATAATAAAATAAAATAATTAATTATAAAACCATATATATATATATATATATATATATAATAAAAATATTTAATATAACCAACCACAAATTATAAAAAAATACATAAATATTATTTTTCATGAGCTAATACATTGTGGGAACATATTATTTCGTGAAAAAATCTAGTGTTTAATATTCTCAACCATGTATAAAATCCCTTTAAATCGGTGACAATTACAGTGACTTGAGAGGTTAATTTTTAACCCAATCGACTGAAGATATATATTTGTGACCAAAAATATAGAAATTGTTTGAAATATAATTATCAAATAATTATTATATATACTAGAATGAACATGCTAAATTTTTATTATATATAAATAAATTTTATAATTTATAACAAATTATACATATAAACAAGTATTATATATTTCAATATATAAGTTATATTAACTTAAAATTTATATTTTTGAACATATAAATTGTATTCTATCTCTTGAAAAAAAAATTATATTATGACATGAAATTATTTTAATTATTTTTAAATTATTAAATTTAATATATATATATATATA